CTCTCTCTCTGCCCCTCCCCCGTTCATGCTCTGTCTCTGTCTGTCCCATAAATAAATAAAAACGTTAAAAAAAAAATTAAAAAAAAATAAATAAATACAGGCTGACCCAATTCAGATGCTTCATTTGGAAAAACAAAAGCCGCTATGCGTGATCGTTTCTATTCATTAAGAGTTTTGAGCGCAACCTACGAAACCAGCTCAAGTCTACATTGCATCTGTGCCCAGAACGGGTGTCTCCAGGAACTGAGAGAGAGAGGGATGTGTGTGCCCCACCCAGGGGGAGGATTTGGAACTAGAATCTGGAAAACATCACCTCTCTTTCCGTTTCCCACACTGGGAGGCTTTATGGACATAAGATCTGCCAGAAACACACGTCTCCATGCTTAGGAGGACCTGTGCTTGGTTTAATGCTCTACTCTCTTAACCATACCTCTTTGTTCTTTTAAATGTTCATTCAGTTTTGAGAGACAGGGTGCAAGCGGGGGTGGGGTGGAGAGACAGAGAGGGAGACACAGAATCTGAAGCAGGCTCCAGGCTCTGAGCTGTCAGCACGGAGCCTGACGCGGGGCTCGAACTCACAAACCGAGAGATCATGACCTGAGCCGAAGTCAGATGCTTAACCGACTGAGCCACCCAGGCGCCCCTTAATCATATCTTTTAACCTGTGTCTTGCAAGTGAAATCTGATGGACAATGGAACATGTGTGTGGAGCAGAGGAGATACAATATACACATCCACTTATGGAGTTTTGTGTCTCCCCCAGTTTACATATAGTGTATGTGATGCCCCGTAAGTACAGATGTGGTAAAACCATGATGCATGGGAGTTTAGGGAGACTCAAAGGAAACTCCGGTTTCCTAGGACCAGCACTTGCTTCCAACACAGGTAGAAGACAATGGCCCTTTAAGAAACACACGATGGCCAAGGAATCACCTGGCCAGGGGTGAGGTCACCTGGTATAAAAAAGGGCAACATCCAGAAAGGAACTCAGATGGGAGTGGTCAGCACCAATACTTACAGCAGCTGGAGGAATGAATCCTTTAGTCCCGAAATGGTGGGCAGGCTCTAAGCAGGGTACCTTAGCATCACTATACCTCACTGCTTGGAAATGATAAAGTATGTTTTCTTTTTTTTTTTTAAGTTTTTAAATTTATTTTTGAGAGAAGGAGAGGGGGAAAGAGGGACAGAGAGAAAGAGAGAGAGCACACACAGCAACAGAGGAGGGGCAGAGAGAGAGAATCCCAAGTAGGTTCTGCACCATCACTTGGGGCTTGAACTCAGGAAACATGAGATCATGACCTGAGCTGAAATCAAGAGTCCGATGTTCAGTTGACTGAGCCACCCAGGTGCCCCAATGATAAATAATTTTAAATGGAATTCTTTTTGACCTCAAGCTTCGTGAGTTTGAGACCTGCATCGGGCTCTGTGCTGACAGTGTAGAGGCTGCTTGGGATTCTCTCTCTCCCTCTATCCCTCTCTCTCTGCCCCTCTGCCCCTCTCTCTCTTTCTCTCTCTCTCAAAATAAATACATAAACTTAAAAACAAGAATTCTTTTTATAGGGATGGAACAGTCCTAATAATAAGTAATAAGAACAAACACTGTTCTAATAATTATCTGCAGGTGTCCTTGGAAATTGGTGAATCACTTTTACGCATGAAATGTTGGCATGTGACTCCATGAAGTTAGTCTAAGTGGCGGTAGTATTAAAAAATAATAGTAATAAAAATTTAAAATATGTCCAGGTATTCGAGAAGGCTTTAATAGATTGTCGGGACTCAATAACGACAGTGCTAGGGGACTCTGGGGACACAGAAGAAGGTCCCTTGCAAAAGCACACGAGGGATGGCGGACTAGGGGGGAAGGGGAGAAAGAAGTTCCTCATTGCTTACACCTTCCTCAGGCGGCATCTGAGCTCCACGAGGAAACGGGCAGAGGGCCGTCGTTGACCCTTGGAAAAACCCTGGGGACCAGGCGCCCTGAGTTGGTAGCAAGAGCAGACCTTTCTGAACACCTTTCTGTGCAAAATTGTTCTGCCCCACATTTTGCCTACGTCATATTACATAACAAAGGATTAGCTACAAGTATGTCTGAGACACAAACCTTATTGATTTCACCCAAGAAGAAAGTACATGGTCATTGCTAGGTTTCTCTTTGATGGTTAATCAGAGGACCTTGGAGCTGCCTTCCGCAAAGCACAGAGGGAGACTTCCATCCCATTGTAGGATGTTTTTCCTCTTGTTGCAAAAATGGGTCGCTTGTTTCCCGAAATACTTGAATGGACTCCAACTCTCCCAGATGGTTTAATACCTATATGATAACACTGAAGAATTTGAATATCGCTTCACTAATAAATGCTTCAAAGGAAATCTTGTAACATGAATGTTACAAGAAAAATATCCACGGCCCCTTTATTGAACCTGATGTGAAAGGAGCACACTGCGAGCTCAGTGGCTCTGAATCATGCCTCAAGCCTGTTCTACTTAAGCAAGCTCTCAAGACCCAGCAAGTCTTCCGGTGACTCAGAACAGAAAGCAGAATGAATGCTCTGTCCAACTCGTGTTTCTGAAGCATTTATTGGGTGTCGCCCTCAACCATCCAGCTGAATCCTTTTTGCAAGACACACACAACGAAGAATTCAGTGAACAAAGCAAAACAAGTCCGTAGCATTCCAGAAGGATTCCCTAATCTAAATATAAAATATGCAAGTCGCAACTCATCTGGCAGATCGCACAGGAACATAGGGAGGGTTGCGAGAGACCAAGGCAACGAAAAGCCTCACGCTGGCAAATGGAATTGGATTCGTTACAGTTTCATCAATTATTTACACTTGACGACATCAGGACCTACAAACATGTTAAAATTGTGAGTTTGGATTAATGGGATCAGCTCAATGGATAATCCGTTGATGTAAACTTTATGCACTATTAAGGTTATTAAGAAAATTACAGCCTAGGGGCTATATTCTGACATATTAAAGAATAGGAGCTCAAAGCATTTTTATAATTATGCCCCTAACTTTTATTCACTTTTCCACTATTCGATATGATCACACAGACAAACACAGATGGGGTTTCTGAGAACTCAGGGAGAAAGAGGGTTGTAAATCACGAGACAATGTCTATAGATTTTAATTTTGATAGGACTTATTTCGCCCCAGTTTTACTGGCATACAGCTCTGTATAAGTTTAAGGCATACCACGTGACTTGACATATGTACATTGAGAATGACTTAGGTTTTGTTCGTTTATTTTGAATTTCTATAGCACTTAGTTTCTTAGCTTTGGAAGTTTTTGTATTTAAAGCAAATATTTTTTGAATGGCAAGTATAAATTTGAGAGTAAGAGAGGCTATAAGAAAATAATGACCACAAAAAGACTTTCACTTCTTTTGTTACTTCTAACGCTATATGGGTTTACTTTCTTTCTTTTTTTTCTTTTCTTTCTTTCTTTCTTTTTTTTTTTTTTTTTGAGAGAAAGAGAGAGAGGGAGGATGCAAGGAAGGGAGGGGCAAAGAGAGAGGGAGAGAAGCAGGGCTCACGGGGGGTTCATGTTTACCTGAAGCGGGGCTCGAGCTCACAAATCATGAGATCGTGACCTGAGCCAAAGTCAGATGCTTAACTGATTGAGCCACCCAGGTGCCCTATATGGGTTCTTAATTGTATAGTGGGGCTTGTAACTGCACCGTTTTGAAACAATTACACACCCTCCACATTTTTATTTTGGAATGCTCTGGGGGTGCCTGGGTGGCTCAGTCAGTTGAGCATCCGACTTTGGCTCAGGTCATGATCTCGAGGTCCGTGAGTTTGAGCCCCGCATGGGGCTCTGTGCTGATGGCTCAGAGCCCGGAGCCTGCTTCAGATTCTGTGTCTCCCTCTCTCTCTGCCCCTCCCCCACTCATGCTCTGTCTCTCTCTGTCAAAAATAAAGTAAACATTAAAAAAAGACATTAACAATGATCGTATAATACCATTTAATATACAATCTATATTTGAATTTCCTCTGCTCTTCCAAAAAAGGTCTTAAAGCTGGATTTTGCTGTTGATGATGGTTTTCCTACTCTGGGTTCCAACCCAGGTTTGTCCCTTCCATTCGGTGATTCTTCAGTTCTTAACTGCAGGACAATTTCCCTGCCTTAAAAAAAATTTTCAACACTAATGCTTTTTTTCCCCAAGAGTCTTGGAGAACAACGTCTCACATTCTGGATTACTCTACTTGTTTCTTCGTTATTAAATTTATGCGAATCAAGTTTGGCGAATATGCTTATGTTGCAGTCAAAGCAATATTTAAAGTGAAAGTTTGAATTTTCTTTGCCTGACGTCATGGCTTGTCCCAAACTCTGGTGTGCCAAGACTTTAAGCCAGTTTGGTTCTAAAAAATTATCTTATATAATACATAGCTTGGTCCTATTAGCAAACATCACATGCCTCTTTAGTGTGTTTGTTTGGGGGAGGACAGAGCATGTGCCTTTCAGACTTTTATTTTAAACCTTCTTAATACCAAGCAAATGCTCACTCTACCTAGTGTCCCACTCTTGCTCATACAGTGATCCCTTCTGGCCACGTTTTTACAGCTTCTCTGTACCTCGGTGAATCTACAAAGTTGTTGAGAGGGACAGGGTCAAATACATATCAAGTAAAGAACTATAGATAAAGGTACAGGTTAGCTCTGACATTCTGAACGTACAGCATTTTTTCTTGATTATTAAAATGGCCATGGACATGTATTTGAGTTATTGGTCTTTGCCAACAAAGTGATAGAATGAACACGATTCCCTATGATCTCCCCGGAATTTTCTAGAGTGATCAGTGGAGCAGGGTTGCAGCTGGGGAGCTTAAGCCTTCCAGTAATGAATGAATTAGTCTAAATATCAATAGAACTGGATTCTGACCTTCATTAGCATCATCATCATTTTGGAATCACATTGACTGCCTTACCACAAAGTTGATTCTTCATCTGGATCCTCAGGATCAGATTGGGATCCTAAACACAACAGAGGTTGGGGTCTCACCATTTGTAACTTAAAGGAGTTTTATTTTTTACTTTTTTTTCTTTTAATGTTTATGTATTTCTGAGCAGAGAGACAGTGTGAGCATGGGAGGGGTAGAGACAGAGGGAGACACAGAATCCGAAGCAGGCTCCAGGCTCTGAGCTGCCAGCACAGAGCCCAACGCGGGGCTCGAACTCATGGACCATGAGATCATGACCTGAGCCAAAGTCGGTCGCTCAACCGACTGAGCCACCCAGGCGCCCCACACCATTTGTAACCTAACATTAGCCTTTCACTTACAGAAGCAGAAAGAATCCTAGGATCATGAGATTGAGAAGAAATTTCAAAAGGACATTGTGTATATTTCTTTCCATCGGGTAGGCCCCAAATCTCCTTCCTGGCAGCTGAAAACCTACCCTATTTGTAGTAATCCTTTGCACAGGACTTATTTAATAGGCCTTTTACGCAAAGCACTCCCCAGTGTCAAAATATCTTACATGTAATGTAAATTGTTTTCTATGTGGTAGCTAGGACACGATCGCTGTCCTCCCCTTGAAAGGTTTTCTCAGGTTTGGGCTCCTGCTCTGTGCCGTAGGCAGAAGAGGTATCATCTGTAGCTTTTCCTCATGGGTCTTGTTTCCTAAACCTTTAATCATTTTTATGGCTTCCTTTTAAACTCTCTCCAAATTTTCTGCCCCCTTTTAGATGCAACGCCTAGAATTAAATATAGTATTTGAAAGGATATGATTAGTACCAAATTTAGAGGGTAATCACTATCCAGTCCTTACATCCTGCACTTGAAGATTTGTTAGTCATTTTCAAAAATGATTAGACTTTCCAACAACAGCAGCAAAGATTCCAAGAAGTCGTCTTGAATATTATGTTGTGATGTTTTAGAACTCGTTTGTACCATGGTCCACTTTAGTTAAAGGGACAAAAGGCCTCAAAGCCTGCCCAGTCTTACTGGGAAGAGCCCCTCAAAACTGCAGAAACAGGGGTGCCTCAGCAGCTCAGTTGGTTAAGTGCCCAACTCTCGATTTTGACTCAGGTGATGATCTCATGGTTCTTGGGATTGAGCCCTGCATCAGGCTCTGCACTGACAGAGTGGAGCCTGCTTGGGATTCTCTCTCTCCCTCTGTCTCCCCCTCCCTCACTTGTGTGCTCTCTCTCTCTCTCAAAACATAAAAATAAATTTAAAAATTAAAATGAATGTGCAGAAACAGATCTTAGAAAGCAGCTTAAGGATAACTCATATATATATATATTTTTTTTTTTGAGAGAGAGAGAGAGAGAGAGGGTGCAAGTGAGCGAGAGGCAAAGAGAGAGAGAGAGGGAGAGAGAGAGAGAAGTGGGGTTCACCGGAAGTGGAGCTCGTGTTTACCTGAAGCAGGGCTCGTGCGCACCCAATGCGGGACTCGAACTCGTGAACTGTCAGATCATGACCTGAGCCGAAGTCAAATGCTTAATAAGTGAGCCACCCAGGCACCCGGGATAACTCATATTGAAATCATAATGCATTTATGTCACAAGGTCTGGTTATTATAAAATGACAAGCCCAAAAAGCTGATGCCAGTTCACATTACCGCTCGGTCTAGAGTTAACCAAACGACCCCAGCAGCATAGCGCTCATTCTGAAGAAGCCACACTGAAGTAATTTCACACACAAGAGGAAGATGGTCAGAAATTAGAAATCGGAATGACGTCAAAAGTCGGCTGATGGTGGCCTGACACAAAAGTAATTTCCTGGAAACTTGTGGAAATCCCAAGCATCTGTATGTTGGCAGTGGGACCTTTTGCATCGTTGCCTCACACTTGACGTTAGGCAACATTCCTGGTGGACAACCGATGCCTTTCCTTGGTAAAGTCCAACGATATGTTAATTGTTCTTTCTAGCAATGTTAGCCAAGCTATCGTTTATTGAGTGCTTACTATGTGCCAGGCAGTATTGAGCCCTCTGTACACATTTTCTCCTTTGAATCATAACAACTTTGTGAGGGGCATATTATTATTATAGCCTATGTATAGATGAGTCCATTCAAGCCCAAAGGCAGATGGTTAGTAAATGTCATAGTAGGGATTCCTGTCCAAGTATTTCTGACCCAGTAGAACTACTATGTTATAATGCCTTGTGAATTTTAAATATCAGCAGTCTGATAGTTTACACTCATAAAAAAATAAAGGGTAGAATTCATTCTTCTTTTATCTTTTTAATGGTTCTTTATTTTTGAGAGACAGAGAGAGAGAGAGAGAAGCTGGGGGGAGGGGTGGTGGGTGCAGAGAGAGAGGGAGACAGAGAATCCCAAGCAGGTTCGATGCTGTCAGCACAGAGCCTGAGATGGGGCCCGAACACACAAACCAAGAGATTGCGACCAGAGTCGAAGTCAGAGGTCGTTCGCTTAACCAACTGAGTCACCCAGGCGCCCCCGATTCTTCTTTTAAAATGAAATTCCCTGAAGATGTACAACATTCACGTGTAAATTCAGAAGAAAGAGCCAGCATTTGTAGATGAGTTCCTGGCCCCAGAAGAGTCTTTTAGGAACCACTGCCCCACAGCAGTTAGAATGATATAGAATGCTCCGTAACAACATGGCACAGTAGAGACATAAACTGACCACAGGCTTCCACCCCTTTTTTCTAGGCTTGCATTTGGCCGTCTTTCCCATAGTTAACTCTGGCCGTATGAGGAAGTTCTTTCTGGTGGCCTGGGGGCTGAAGTGATATTTGTCCCGCAACTGCCCTTGTGCAGACCTCTGAGCTCTTCTCTTGGCTGACTGGGACCACACACAGAGTGACCTTGGACTTCAATTGCTGGAACTGCCATCAGCCTGAGTTTTCAAATGACTCCATGAAGACTGAAGCCATGTCCTGCCTTTCCTTCCCTGAAAACTGGAACTCTTAAGTGAGCAAGAATAAAATTAATTCTTTAAGCCTCTGTATTTGGGTTCTATCTTGTGAGGCGATTTCGCACACCCCAACTCATATGCATGTATGCGTGGTGAGATGTCAGTACCCATCTGACATGAATACAGTAAGTTGCAAAACAGTGTTTAGAATAGGATCCGATTGGGTCTGTCAGAGTAATCAGTCTGGAGGAGTCGGCACCCAAATATTCACAGTGGCTGGCTCTCTGAAGAGCTACGGAAGGGTTTTTAGTTTCTACAGAGTGTAAGCGTATAATGTTTAATTCTAAAAAGTAAAAAAAAAAAAAAAAATAAGTGTGTTTCATTTGTAAAAAGAAAGAGTCATGTGAAAAAATGTTGCCTTCAGCTTCACTTTACAGGAGCCAGATGTCCCCTTTTTATTTTATTACATATATATTTTTTAATTTTTAACGTTTATTAATTTTTGAGACAGAGAGAGAGAGAGAGAGAGAGAGAGAGAGTATGAGTGGGAGAGGAGCAGAAAGAGGAAAACAGAATCCAAAGCAGGCTCCAGGCTCCAAGCCATCAGCACAGAGCCCGATGTGGGGCTCGAACCCACGAACCGTGAGATCATGACCTGAGCCAAAGTCAGACGCTTAACCAACTGAGCCAGGCAGGCGCCTCTATTTTATATATTTTTTAATGTTTATTTATTTTTGAAAGAGAGAGAGAGATTGAGCCATCCAGACGCCCCTTATTTTTTATTTTTTTAAAGTTTAGTTATTTTGAGAGAGAGCAAGAGAGTGGGGGAGGGGCAGAGAGAGAGAGAGAGGGAGAGGGGGAATCCCAAGCAGGCTCCTCATGAAGCCCCATGCAGGGCTGGAACTCACAAAGTGTGAGATCATGACCTGAGTCGAAGTCAAGTGTCAAATGCTAAACCCACTGAGCCACCCAGGTGCCCCCAGATGTCCCTTTTTAAGGCAATGTTTTATTTATTAAAAAAAATTTTTTTTAATGTTTATTTGTTCTTGACAGAGACAGAGACAGACAGAGTGCGAGCAAGAGACAGGGAGAAAGAGAGGGAGACACAGAATCTGAAGCAGGCTCCAGGCTCTGAGCTGTCAGCACAGAACCCGATGCAGGGCTTGAACTCACAAGCTGTGAGATCATGACCTGAGCCGAAGTCGGATGCTTAACCTACTGAACCACCCAGGAACCCCAGCAATGCTTTATACAAATCGTACAATAGGAACATAAATTTCTCCTCAGAGTACAGATGAAACCTTTAAAGGAAGACAGGTCTACCTTATTGTATACAATTAATATATTCTTAAAAACATTATCGATAAAACATACCCCTACTTATCAACCCTTGTTTTCTCAATGTCCTTCAAAATGAAATTCAAGAGATGTTTGCCAGGAAGAAACACATCTCAGGAAGAAAGCAGGCTCACCTATAAAGGCACCAACTTTTGAAAGCATATGCTTTAAAGAAAATGATAGTTGTTAGTTAAAATATTCACATTGGTTTAAGCGAAGTACCAATGCAAATAGTCTCATAGTTATTTTTACATGTAGAAAAATATTCAAGACTTGAAAGGAAAACCACCATTGATAACTCCTTTGAACTTAACAAAATGAAGTTCTGTGAACACTTCCTCCCCAGGGTCATATAGCTAGCAATACACATATTGGGTTGCCCAAGCTGTGCATTCAGAAGAATTAACGTTACCTCCGAGGTCTAAAAACGATTTTTCTATTGTTATTTTAAAAAAGAAAACAAAGATACAAAAACCCACAGTAGGCAAGAAATCAAATTAGTCAGTAAAAAAATAACATTACTGGAATGCCGTCATACATATTTAATGATTTTCCTGAATTTTAATGCTGTGAGTCAGATTTTCAGTGTACATGTGAGGGGTTTTCCCCCAAAAGAAAGGGCAAAATATATTGTTAGAGTAGGCGGTTAGCTAGATGGGAGCAGGGAACAAGTGTTTTCCCACTGATAAAAGGGCGGAGGCCAAGTTCTAAACAGTTGCATGCAGGGAGAGCGAGCGTTTGTCTTCCTTTCTTTCCTGGGTGGATGTGTAGTTGGTGGGGGATGGGAGCCTTAGGGGGTGGTACAAAATTGTATACATGAGAAAAGAGGTTTAGTTTTTTTTAAATGTTTATTTACTTGAGAGAAAGAGAGAGACAGAGAGTGTGTGCGAGCGGGGGAGGAGCCGAGAAAGAGGGAGACACAGAATCCGAAGCAGGCTCCAGGCTCTGAGCTGTCAACACAGAGCCCCACGTGGGTCTCGAACCCACGAACTGCGAGATCGCGACCTGAGCCGAAGCCTGACTCAGCCCACCCGGATGCCCCTGAGAAGAGAGGTTTAAAGAATTATTGCTGGGATTTGTGCAGTGGATAGCTTTTAATGTTTTAAAACTTTTAAAAAAGGCTAGAATTCATTTTAAAAAGTAATTGTAATGTTGGCTGTTTGAAGGATGTTTTTTTTCAAAGTCTCTGGGGACCACAAGGAGCACTTTCTGCCCATAAGGAGGCCCGCGGAGGGGAGGGGGGGCTTGCTCTGATCTCCTGCAGCTGTAGCCTGTGGTGAAGAGATGGGGCCAGAGAGGTATGCCCACCCAACACCCACAAAGGTGCCCCAAAGGACCCAGGACCCCAGAATTTCTTGTCCAGATGGCCTCAGGTTGATTTACAGGGCTTGTTCCGGTCTCGCTTGGGGGTCCCAAGAGCAGACTGTGCAGCTAAGTGTGCACCCACGGCCAGGCAGGTGATGCAGGGCATAGAGGGGCCGAGGACTAGGAGCCCAGCTCAGGACCTTTCACTGCAACGGAAGAGGAGGGCAAGCTTAGGCCCTGTGCAGTCAGCCCGGCTTTTAACTCCAGGGAGTCAGAATCCGCAATTGCAATCTGGCCTCCCAGATCGACATACAGGTATATACCCGTAGGTAGGAAGATGGAACATAATGTATTTAACAAATGTTATCTTGGTTCATTCGTACATGTTTAGTCATATGGTATGTGAGCCTCCATTTGTACTCCTGCCCCGGGTGCACGAATAACAGGGGCAGCCTCACGCTTGACGGCAGGGAGCCACGCCTCTCCCAGGCCCGTCAGGAATACACCTTAGAACAAAGGCACAAAAGTTAAAGCGCTACATTTCTAATGTGCTGCATCCGCAGGAAAATCTGGAGTCAGACTGATAGTGATGCACGTAGACCCCACCACCGGACCCTTTACCTGCTTGACTTTGGGCAAGACTCTGACACATCTCTGAGCCTCCTCTGGAAACTGATGGGTGAACATTTGCCATCGTATCTGGTAAATTACAGGTACTCAAAGACAGTGTTGTGGACACGTGGCTTGTAAGTCAACAACTTTTGTCTTTGACCTATTTTCACATTACCATTCACATTTTGGGCCAAGACTTTAGGTAAACCTGAGCTGAAAGAATATGCAGTCATTTTTGTAGAGCATAACATTTAGAAGAACCTTCCAAAGGTTTCATTCCAAATCAAAACAGTCCTGAGTTCTGGTGTCTTTTTTTTTACGTAAATGAGTGTGCATCGCGGAACCTCACTGACACTCAGTGTCCCCTGTTATAAGACAGCAATAATAATAGTAACTAATTCATTGCACCATTAGAAGGATTAAGTGAACAAAAAAAAAATGCAAAAATGTTTGCCATACAGGAAGTGGATTATCTGTCATATTTCAAACTTCTACTGAATTTTATTTAGTGTAATATTATTCTATTGAATTTCATTCAATAGATAATTTTTCTTTTTTTATTTTTAATTTTATTTATTTATTTATTTTTCAATATATGAAATTTATTGTCAAATTGGTTTCCATACAACACCCAGTGCTCATCCCAAAAGGTGCCCTCCTCAATACCCATCACCCACCCTCCCCTCCCTCCCACCCCCCATCAACCCTCAGTTTGTTCTCAGTTTTTAAGAGTCTCTTATACTTTGGGTCTCTCCCACTCTAACCTCTTTTTTTTTTCCCCCTTCCCCTCCCCAATAGATAATTTTTCTAATTTTCTGGGTTATTTTGAACATCCACGGGGTCTGCTGAATGAAAATCACATATGTGTGTAACTATTTGGTACCTCCGGGACAGTTACTTTTTCTAAAAAAAATTTTTATTGTTGTTGCGTGATTGAGTTTGTTTTTTTATTGGAGAGTCATATGAGCTTCTGCTTTGATTCCATTTATCCTGCTGACAGATGCTTTTCTTTCTTACTTGGGCCTTCGAATGTAAGATAATTATCACCCAAACAAAATCATAAAAGACCATGCCATTTAAAAGCTCTTTTTAAAAGCCTAAGAAAGGGGCGCCTGGGTGGCTCAGTTGGTTGGGCGACCGACTTCAGCTCAGGTCATGATCTCACAACTCGTGAGTTGGAACCTGGCATCAGGCTCAGCGCTGAGAGCTCAGAGCCTGGAGCCTGCTGGGATTGTGTCTTCCTCTCTCTCTCTGCCCCTCCCCCACTCACGCTCTGCTCCCCCCCCCCCCCCACCGGGGGTCAAAAATAAACAAACATTAAAAAAAGCCTAAGAAAATAGCAAGCATACTGGAAGTCAAAGTAAACTGTGATAGAAGGTCTGAGAAAAAGAAATGTATGTGCTTCCTGAAGTGTCTGGAATGAATAACAGTGACCCTGAGTTCTTGCGGAGGGACAGACACACACGGGGGCTGGCTGTGCCCATGGGAGTCCTGCAGCAGACTCGCAGAGGCCAAGAATCTGAGCTCTTCGGACACTGGCTAAGAGGACATTTGGATTGTGACTAGTACAGTTTGGAGGGACAAAGCGCCAGGGACTCACTTTTCCTTTTCTCCTTCCTCTTCCAAGGGGATTATTTAATAGCCTGTTTACACATGCAGCACTTGCTTACTCTAATAATAGCCCATGGGCCTGAATCATCCTGCGTCACTGAGGTGTCATCCGGAGTCCTCAGCTGTTTCCACGACTTGTGTGGTTGGCTTTCAACACTCTCTGGAAACCGCTAAGAATGTGCAGGGTAATCGGTGATTTCAATTTTAACCATGCATGACGTGA